TATCTTGCAAAACTGTAGTATAATCACAATCAGCCTACTGACATTGATACAGTCAAGATAGAGTATTTCCATCACCATCAGGACCTCTTGTGTTGTCCTCTATAGTCCCCCCATTTCCTTTCTATCCACACTCCCCCCCCTGAAATCCTGGCAATTTGTTTTTTAGTTTTATTATTTTGTCATTTTGAGAATGTGATATAAATGGAGTCAGATGGTATATAATTTTTGGGGGGATTGGCTTTTTCACCTAGTGTAATTCTTTGGAGAGTCATCCAAGTTGTTTCACATGTCGATAGTTTGTTCCTTTTTATTGCTGAACAATAGTCTATGTATGGATGTGTACTATACTTTGTTTAACCATTCATCTGTTGAGGGACATCTGTGTTGTTTTCAGTTTTTGGCTATTATGAATAAAGCTGTTATAAACATTCAGATTTTTGTGTGAACATAGGTTTTGATTTCTCTGGGATAAATGCCCAGGAGTGCAATTGTTGGGTTATATGATATTTGCACATTTAAATTGCCAAACTGATTTCTGGCATAGCTGTCCTATTTTATATACCACTAGCAATATGTGAGTTGCATCCTTGCCAGCATTTGGTATTGTCTTGTGTCTTTTTTTTAAAGGGCTCATAGTTTTAATGTTTTTATTGATTTTAGAGAAGAGCTAGGGAGAGAGAGAGAAAGCTGGGAGGGGGAGAAGAGGGAAGAAGAGAGAAAGAGAGGGAGGGAGGAAGAGGAACAGGAGAGAGAGAGAGAAATATTGATGTGAGAGGCAAACATTGATCAGTTGCCTCCCGTTCCTTCCTGACTGGGTATTGAACCTAAAACCTGGACATGTGCCCTGAGTGGGAATTGAACTGCTCTGACTTTTTGATGTATGGGATAATGCTCAACCAACTGAGTCACATTGGTCAGGGCATATATTGCTGTTTTCTATTTGCTAATATTTTGTTTAGTTATTTTTAAAAATATATTTTCATTTATTTCAGAGAGAAAGGGAGAGAGAGAGAAAAAAAAATCAATGATGAGAATCATTGATCAGCTGCCTCCTGTACGTCTCCTACTGGGATTGAACCTGCAACCCGAGCAACCCGAGCAAGTTGAGCATGTGTCCTGACCAAGAATGGAACCATGACTTTCTGGTTCATAGGTCAACGCTCAACCACTGGGCCACACAGGCCCAGGCTATTTGCTAATATTTTGTTAAGGATTTTTACATCCATATTCATGAAAGTACCAGTATTTAGTTTTCTCTTTCTGTAGTATCTTTGGTTTTGATATCTGGATGATAATATTAGTTTCATAAAATACACTGAGAAATATTCCCTCCTCTTCTATTCTATGAAAAAGATTGTATAGAACGTGTTATTTTTTTTTAAAATATATTTTTTATTGATTTCAGAGTAAAGGGGTGGGAGATATATATATATATATATATATATATATATATATATATATATACACACACACACACACACACACACACACACACACACACACACAAGTAAAAGAGTCCTAGCCCTTTTGGCTTTCTATGACATTGCACTGCCATTTACTAGGTAGAGATAGAAATCCCCACTTGTTACTTCTGGGCAAGGGTGGGAGTTCTGGTTCCCTTCGTGTCTCACTGACAATGGTGGGGGTGGCCTAGTTACTGCTTGACTCTTCTTGGGCCTCCTCTGACACCATCCCATTTGAGGGGCAGGGACACCTTGTTACAGGCCGGGGATGGGGGAAATGTAGGCTCCCACATGGCCTTTGCTGGTGTGGGTGTGAGTGTATTTGCCTGGAGTAGAGCAGCCATTGCCTAAAGGCTTGCTTTCTTGCTAGGCTGCCTCTCCTGATTTAGCTAGAGAGAGCAGGTTTTTTGTGGAGCCTTTCTGTCTGTACCCCTTGGTGTTTTTAGGTTGCTTCCTTCTTAATTTCTAAGTTTGCAAAACCTGAGATAAAAATCAGGGAAGTCACCACTGAGTCTTTTCTCAGGTCCTAAGGTCTCTTTCAGAGTCTTCTTGTGTTATGTTATATATATTATGTAGGATTTTAGTTGTGCTTAGAAGGAGGAACAGGGAAAAGTATGCATATTCCATCTTCCTGGAGGCCAAAATCATAATTCATTTGGAAGATTACTTTGAAGGTCAGACATCTAAGAGGAGATTTCAAGTGGGCCATTGGATTTATGACTCTCGAGTTCTGGTAGTTTGTGGAAGTTCTCTCCTAATCACTTCATTTTTCTTAGAGGTTAGGAAGTGATAGCATCAGTTGAAAGTGAGCACAACAGAGAAGGTGTTGGAAGTTTGAAAACAGGAAAATGTGAATGGTCTCCTAAGGGAGCCGGAGGGTGGATGGACCACTAGGAAAATATGGTGTAATTGCCAACAGCATTACATGTACACCTGAGTTTTTGGCATTACATTTAAAATGACATAAAAACAATGGCATGGTTGTACACTTATTTTCAGTCATGCTCAGCTGCTTGGTGCATATGGGGACTAGTCAGAGAGTTTGACTTAAGTTGGGATATAGCCTCACCATGTAAGTGGGACAAAGTGAGCAGGGGGAGGAAATTAGAGGTATGCGTGAGAGGGATGATGTCTGACCATAGAACTGAATCTGGGTAAAGAGGGATGAGAGTGTATTGGGCGAGGGAGTAAAGGTGGAAGGTTCAGAGAATTATGGTCCTGATGGGATCAGAATATCAGGGAATGGATTCAAAGGCTAGGAGGTCATGTCAGTGGTTGGGATGCATGAAGTTGAGATTCTGGAAGAGTTGTGATGAAAGATAATGACCATGGGAATGAGAAGCTAAGGGATGCCTCATCAGGAGAGAGGAGGGTCAAGGTTTTTGAAATCAAGACAGGAGTATTTGGGTGGGGTGAACTCTCATCATTGAGAATTAGGGATCCTAATGGTGAGTTCGTGGACAAAGATTAGTGGGTGATAGCTGATGACAAGGAGAATCAAGGCTGGGGCATTTAGGGAAGGAAATGGGAGATGGTCTGGAAGGGGCTCCACCCCTTCTTCAGTTCAAGAATGTGGGAGAGAAAGAACTATTAAATAAAAAGGCTGCAGGGAAAGCATGGGAGATTAAGGTTTCAGTTAATCATGAAAGATGATAGAAAGGACTTGCTGGTGAGTGACTGGATTCTAGAGTGCACAGTGGAGGGTTTGTGGACATGGAAGGCCTGGGAGATGGAGACAAATTATAATAATTCCCACCCCTGTAAGCTTGTGTCCCTTTAAATATACATGACTGTTCCAAAAGTCAAGCATAGAAAAATGAAAATTTTAAAAGTCAAGTTTAGTTTGTTGGCTTCCAGCATGACAAATTCTTTTAAAACATGTTTTCCCACACTTTGTCAGGAAAATTAAATATATCAGAAATAGCAATTTGTAAATTCCTGAATCAACCAAATTGAGGTGATAAATGTCAAAATTCTTTTAAGAAATTTTTATTAATAGTTTTCTGAATAACTCTAATTTAGTCTAATGTAGTATCTGTTGAACAACTTCAAGAATATCTATTACACTTTTATAGTCCCTGTTTATTTTTTCTAGTGAAAAATTCAGTGAACCAACTGTTGCAATTGCCATAGGAGAGTTTTACTAATTTTTTTTATTTTATTTTTTTTTTTTACTAATTTACTAAATTATTTTTTCTGAGAGTCTATTCAGTCCCTTTTTTTCTATACAAAGTGTATGTCAACTGTGGTAACAAGCCTGAGTGTGTTCATAGAGACGAAGAGTTGGCTGTGAGGTTGTTCATTTGTGTTCAGGCACACCTGCTTTTGCAAAACCCAACAATGATTTGGTTTAATCTTAGCCTTGTAAAATATTTTTCTTTACTGTGATAGACTTAAAAATATTATGTATTTTTAAATCTCACATTTTAAAATATTTTTAAAAAAGTATAATCGATATTCTTTAAGTTGTTCAACAGATACATTAGATTGTAAGTTAGAAATTGCTAAATTTCAGAAGGTATGCCTCTGAACTTTTGGTATGTAGACTTACTGATGTAAACAATTTAACTTTTACTTTAGTAAATCATGCTGAGTTAAGAGCTTGTGTGTATTTGGTGTCATTCCTGTATCCAGATTCCCTTCTTTAATATTTAAAATAGTCTAACTCACACTTTGTTTTTAAGCTCCAGTTTCCAATTCTTTTCCTTTAGGTGTTTTCCCTTCTTCCTAAGAATATATATTTTTTAATTTGGGAGGTAGGTATCTGTCAGTTCTAGTAGTACTTAGAAATGCTGTCTACATTAGTTCTCTTGAATTTGTTGTACTGCATGGAAAGTACTTAGGTTCAGCTCTGGCCAGTGTGGTTAGTTGATCGAGCGACGCCCTGTACACTGAGAGATTGCTGGTTAGATTCCTGGGCACGGCACACGCACAGGTTGCAGGTTTGGTCCCTCATCGTGGTGTGTGCGGAGGCAATCAATTGATGTTTCTATTTCACATAAAAGTTTCTTTCTCTCCCTCTCTCCTCTCTCTATAAAATCAATAAAAACATTAAAAAAAAAGAAAGTACTTAAATTCAAATTTTGTATGTAGTTTGTGACCTACTTGAGCAAGGATCAACCTCTGTTTTTTTCTGTTCTGGGCGTGGGGTGGAGTCTGGCTGGGCAAAGATACTGAATTCCAACCCTTTTGTGAAGTGAAAACAGAGGAAATGGTGAGAGCTGTGTGTGGACTTCGCCTTGTGACCTAAAGTCAAACTCCTCTTTTTTCTTTCTTTTTTTCTTCTATTATTGGCAGGCGAGGTCTTTGTTGCTTAAGTTGTTACTGTCTGGTAAGGCAGTTGTTATCTGATGAATAATTGGCCTAAGAAGAAAACTGCTGCCTATTGAGATTTAGGTATAAATTAATTCTTAAGAGCAAGATAATAGGAATTTAACGAATAGAAATGCTTAGTGAAAAATTTAGGTTAATATGCGTCTAGCTTAATGTATATAAAGTTAGAGTTTTCATTTAATGTTCTTTATTCACTTACTTTAGCTCTACCACTGGCTGATTCACGGAACGAGACTGTACTCCTGAAAGATATTTCTTCTGCAAATATGAGTGCTGTTTTAATACCTGAAGGACAAACCAAACCTCCTGTTTCCCAAATCAGCACCACTCTCCCTCCCACAGATAGTCCAGAGAAGAGTGGAAGGGCATCTGTCCCCCCTCATCCCTCACCTACTGCTACTCTGTCCCAAGAGGAAGCTGATAACAATGAAGATCCCAGCGTAGAAGAGGAGGATCTTCTCACACTGAATAGTTCTCCGTCCCCCGCCAAAGATACTCTGGACAACGGAGATTACGGAGAACCAGACTATGACTGGACCACCAACCCCAGGGATGATGAGTCCAGCGAGGCGTTGGAAGAAAAAAGGGGCTACATGGAAATTGAACAGTCAGTGAGATCTTTTAAGAGCCCATCCTCAAATACAGAAGAGGAAGATAGCCATTTCTTTTTTCATCTTATTATTTTTGCTTTTTGCATTGCTGTTGTTTATATTACATATCACAACAAAAGGAAGGTAAGTTTGGGTTTTTTAGCTCCTCTAGTTGTCCTTTGATATCTGAATTATACTTCTTACTAATGCTTTTGGTGATTCAGGACTTTTTTCTGTAAGTCAAGTTTAAAATGGTAAAAGATAGACATGCCTAACCGGTTTATAAATCTATGGTGTATTTTAACAACTATAGTGAATGTTTTATTTAATTTTTAAAAAATCGCTTTGAGGGGAGCTTAAGGGGTGGAGACAGAGAGAGCGAGAGAGAGAGTGAGAGAGAAAGAGAGAGAAAGAAACATTGATTTGTTGTTTTCACTTATTGATGTATATTTTTGGTTGCTTCTTGAATGTGCCCTGACCAGAGATTGAAATAACAGCCTTGGCATATCAGGACATTGCTCTGCCAATTGAGCTACCTTGCCAGGGTGATTAATAAAAAAAGTAAAAAGGTTTTATATCTTAATTGAGCATTGCTTTTTCAATGGGAATACTTGTGGAGAAAGATTGTTAATTTAGTACTTTTAATTAATTAATCATTGAACTTAGTAATATTTTAGTAACTTTTTTCCTCTGGTTGTAAAACTTTAGGGAATTCAGAAAATATGGAAAAATATAGAAATGAAAATTTAGGCTGGCACTCAAAGCTGATCATTATTACCATTTTGGTATATTTCTTTTTTTAAAATTTCTTTATTGATTATGATATCACTTAATTGTCCTCATCCCCCCATTCCCATCCCAAAACCCTCCCCACATATGCCCACTCCTGTTGTCCATGAACACTAGTTAGGCTTATATGCATGCACACAAGTCCTTTGGTTGATCTCTCCCCTTTGCCCCCACCCTCCACTACCTTCCCTCTGAGGTTTGACAGTCTGATCACTGCTTCTCTGTCTCCAGATCTGTTTCTATTCATCAATTGATGTTCATTATTTCCCCTAGATGCATTAGATCATGTGATACAAGGAATTCCCTTATAAGAACTGAAACTGAGACAAGCCATAATGGTTATGCTGAGAGGCAAATGAATCAGTCTGTAGTGGGTTCCTTTCTAGGTTAACAGTTCTTTTGAGTCCCAATTTCAATGTCAAACAGTTCCTTATGTGTACATGTCAGCCATGGTATTTCAGATCTGATTGGTGGACATATGGTGGTGATACATGTCCAACCGTCTCTGGTTTGGTCCTGGGCGTCTTCAGCGATGCACAGCTGCTGTCTGCTAGTATGGCAAGGCGTTGTCAGCATCTTCCATCTCTGGTCTGTTTCTCTTCTGTTTTCCTGGCTGGGGCACTCCTGTCAATTCCTCTGTTGCAGGAATCCACATGGTCTCGGAGTTTTCTGAAAATATAAAAACATATTCTCGACCAAAAGTTAATAAAGGGATATTTTCTATAAATTTGACTTGGGATCCCTTTTCATTTTTTTTTTTTTTTCCCCAAATGATTTTCCTCTGGCTTGTTTTGAAACCATGTATGTTTTTCATGGTTATCTTGCTATTAGCATTTCAAATGAAAGTTAATTTTCTAAAGTACAAATTTTCTAGATGTAATTTATTCACAGGATATTTTTCCTTAAGTGATATTTTTCTACTATCACCCCCTTTTTAATTTAAATATTAGGAGGCTTTGGAAATTTTATAATGTGGTCTTGATAGCTTTTACATTTTAATTATTTGCTCTCAAATATGACTGCTTTAGGTTTATTACATGTTATGCAATTTTACCATGAGATGAACTGCCAATAAGAATTTTTATTAACACTTTAGGAATGGCTTTTTGTACAGTATACAATCAATTTTTCTAGAATATTCGCTTATTTCAATTAGCCAATTTAATTACCTCTGAGAAATTGACTACTATTCAACTGTCAAACTCGACACTCTATCAACAATAATCTTATTTTACCTTGTGTGTATTAGTGGAAAGGATTATTTGCCTTCTTGAGTAGGATCTGAGCATTCCTGGTACTAGGCTGGATTTGGATATCAAAAACCACTTCCCCACACCATGGATATAAGACCTCTCAAACAAGTTGCAGTGAGAGGGCAGCTGCTGTCAGCCAAGTCTTTGTCTGTTATCTGGGTCCTGATTTGAGTTGTGCATGGGAAGCGAATCAGCCATGGGGACAGGAGACCTCCCTCAGAAGGAGTAAAGGTTCAAGTCTCTGTCAAGTTGTGGGGACGGTAAAGGTCTGTGCCCTACCTCTGTTGACCCTCAAGTTCTCTTCTGCTGGCCCCTCTGCAACTGTGCCTGTCTTAGGTGGTTCTTTCCCTGAGGAATCTTACCTGTCTCTGGCTAACCAGCCATCCTCTGGGCCAAGCAGGGTGATGTGAGGTTCAGTTCTGTCTCCTTGGTAGCCTATGCTCCTGTGGCTTGGTATATTTCTGGTCTGCAAATTATATATATTTCAGACATATATGTGTATATTATACTTTTAACTTTATTTTTTTGTATATTATAATTTTTAAATGAATTTGATCTCATATAGAGTTTTGTATTGTGCTTTCTACTTAACAAATCATGAGCATTTTTCATTATCATTAATATTCTTTAAAAACATGATTTAAAAGCTACATATTTTATTTAGCTGTTTTCTAGTTGAACGTTTAGATGACTTCCAATTTTTGGTTCAGAAATAATTTCTGCACTGGAATTGGTTTGTCAGATTCCATGAGGCAAAGGGGGCATAAGAGGACTGGATGGCCCTTGTGTCATCCTGTACACCAAAAGGTGGCAGGGTCAGTTTCTGTCAGGGCACATACTTAGGATGCGGGTTTGATCCCAGTTGGGGCAAGGACAAGTGTGTACAGGAGTAAACTAATCGATGTTTCTCTTTATTTCAATGTTCCTCTCTCCCCCTTCCTCCTTCTCTCTAGAAATCAATAAACATATCCTTGTATGAAGCTTAAAAAAAAGAAAAAAAAAAAGAGGACTGGATAGATTATTTAGTTTGAGGATACATAGCTTAGTCCCAGAGCTGAATAGTTAAGCTTTTCAAATATTTTATTAAAGGGAGATCCAATAAACAATGCCCTTTTTAATACTTATCAGGAAGTCTCAGATTTTGACTTTATTGTAACTTGCTATGTGATTCCTGGCAAGCCACCTTTCCCTTTAGGACCTTGATTTTTTTTACATGAGAAATGACAAAACTGGACCAGATAATGTCAAAAAGCCTTCCATATTTGAGAATCAGTGATTCTAAAATCCTTTTGGTTATTTGTGGTTTAGTGGTCTGTCATTAGCTTTGTAAATGCTTCTAAGTGGACAAAAATTTTTATTTTTATTTTAAATCAATCTTTATTGTTCATATTATTACAAAGGTTCCTCATTTCTTCCCCCCTCCACCAGGTTCCCACCCCACCCTCCGCCCCCTCCCCATCCCCCATTGTCTTCATCCATAGGTGCACAGTTTATGTTCAGTCTCTTCTAGGTGGACAAAAATTTGAATGCCAGGGATATTCTATCCCGATGTTTAATGTTGGATCATCTTTATTATAAACACCTAAGGGACTTGTTAAAGAGGTAGTTTCCTGGGTTCCACCGCTAATTCATTTCTGAAGAGAGAGCCCAGGAATCTGTCTCTAACAAGCACTCTATGTACAATAAAATCTGAGAAGCACTGTCTGGCCTTGTTTACAAGATGGAAAACAAAATAGCCTTTTTACTGTTGTTGATGTTTTACTTTTCGTATTTGGGAACCTAGGAAAGAGGTATTTCACTTGTTATAAAAACTTTTAGCATCTTCATTTTTTCTTTTGTATGTCTAATTTATTTTGTTTTATTCCAGATTTTCCTTCTGGTTCAAAGCAGGAAATGGCGTGATGGTCTTTGTTCCAAAACAGTGGAATATCATCGTCTAGACCAGAATGTTAATGAGGCAATGCCTTCTCTGAAGATTACCAATGATTATATTTTTTAAAGCAGTGTGATTTGCGTTTGCTTATTATGTAATATTATTTGCTTGACTTTTTATATGATAGCGTGAAGATTTTTGCCATAGGCAATTGATATTAATGAGAAGTGGATCTCTATTTTGCTTTGGTGCTTTGGAAATTAAATGTCACAAACAAGGAGTATATAATTTTTTTTAATCTACACTTTCAGAGGTGAATTCAGTCAGGTGTCTAAAATGTGGAGCTAAGCATTGCCTTTTATTGTTTTAGATTTCTTTATTGTACTTCTGGAAGTATTAGTGATGCTACTTTTAAAAAAGATCCAAAGCTTGTAACTAAATTCTAACATATTTGGTACTGTTGATTCAGATTCCCTTCCTGCAATCCAAATACTTTTTTAAAGGCACATTTCTTTGTGCTCCCAAACTGTAACTTACAAGGATGTATGTAATAATACATACATAGGTTTGCATATAAGTAACATTTTTTTTCCCAGGAAAATTGCTTTGGGTATTTTTGGATAATTTAAACATAATTTAAGATAATAATATTACTTAATCTGACCACAATTTTAGCTCAGTTAATAAATGTTTCTAGAAATTCTGGCTATAGAGATGCTGCAGTTTGCAGTGAACGTAGGTAACATGTTACAGAGATACTACTTTTTGGTTAGAATTACTGAATTAAATTTAGAGGTAGAAATTGTGGTAAAATAATAAATACATGTACAATTGCTTTTAGTTAGCAATTGATTATAGCACGGGTTCCTCCAAGCTTTCAAGCAGGGGGCAGAGTTTAAAATTAATCAGATTTTTTCATATTGTTTATTATAGTAAGTTTGAATAAATTTTGGGGGCCATTATTGCTTAAGTAATATATCTAGGCCTTTCAAATTAAGCCTGAATGAAGTTGTATACATAAAGAATATATGTGTACACTGATGTTTCCTCCCACTATATTTTTTTTTTAACTACAAGTGGAAACTAATACTGTATTTTATTTTAGCCTATTATAAAGAATTGATCAATGTGTAAATATGTGATTTGAACCATGGTTGACTTACAAGTGTCAATACCAACTTTTTAGAATATATAACCCCTAATGTACGTCAAACACCCACTCACAAAGCCCGGGTAAGCGAGTGGGCCTGTGCTGTGTGTAGAGTGGGGAGGAGAAAGGTATCCATCATTCCTCTTGGTGGACAATTTACGGTCCTAATCAGGAAGGGAAGCACAATGGAAATACACTTGGACTGTTTTATTGCAGTAATTTTTCATATCTGAAATTGTATTATTTAATATTTTGAATAAGATTTTAAAAAATAAATGGCAAAGATATCAACCCAAGATTTTATAACTGTGTTTCATTTTAATGATGGTATGGATCCTTCATTTGGTTGGTCACAGAGAGTTAATGCTCTATCTGGGGGGAAGCTAAAAAAAAAAAAATACATTTTTATTGATTTCGGAGAGGAAGGGAGAGGGAGAGAGAGATGGGAACATCAGTGATGAGAGAGAATCCTTGATTGGCTGGGGACCGACCATTGCTCCATTTAACAGTAGAACTCTGCCTCTACGAATCCCACTTCCAAATTCTACGTTAGGTCCAGTTTGCCACAAAGTACTGAAGCGGGATTGTAAAGGAAAGGAAAGCAGCTAAATCAACATGTGCTTTCTAGCATGCTGGCCTCCCTGTTGTTTCCCTGTTGAAGGCACCCCTTTCCTGAGGATCATCCCTCCTTAGTGGATCTAGGGTTGTGGGGTTCTTCCTGATGGCACAGTCTTTGCTACTCAAGTCCCATGCTAAAATCAAGTAGCCTCCGATTTTTAGAAAATGAACTGATTAAAAATGCTCCCAGAGTCTTGCAGAGGCACCTGAGCTGTAGGTCTGTAAATATGTAGTCTAATTCTACCAAGGTCTGGGACCTAGAACTGCATGCAGGATGTGGTGAGTTACCTTTATCCGAATGACCACATTCCCGTGTGAACCTAAAGCCCACATTAATTGTGAGATCTCACCCTCCCCCCAAATCCAGGTTCCCATCAGAGCAGCTGCTGCCTATGAGGCAGAGGGAGTGGAGAAGACTACTGCTCTCACAGCTGCCAAAGTGCTCCAGCCTCCTCTCTGGCGTCTCTGGCTGACTGCCTTTTGCCCTGTCTGGCCTGGTGGTGCAAGTTTTCCTCCCTTCTGGTTCTGTAGTGAGCATCTCATTCTTCCCAGCAGAGGTTCTAGAGGTTAAAAGTTTCCCGAGGACCAGGTGTCTTCCAAGGAAACAGAAAAGGAGGCTGTCTTGTGCTTTGAGGTCAGGCTGTAGCTGGATTGTGTTCACCTGTTTTTACTTACTTTGACAATAGCTCTGTGCATTAGTGACATACTGTCTAGGGCAGTGGTCGGCAAACTCATTAGTCAACAGAGCCAAATATCAATAGTACAACGACTGAAATTTCTTTTGAGAGCCAAAATTTTAAAACTTAAACTTCTAACACCACTTCTTCAAAATAGACTCACCCAGGCGGTGGTATTTTGTGGAAGAGCCACACTCAAGGGGCCAAAGAGCCGAATGCGGCTCTCAAGGTGCAGTTTGCCGACCACGGGTCTAGGCTACTGAAGTGACTCTAGGAAGACTGATTTTTGGACCAGTAAGTAGCAGCTTCTACCCCATGGACCCCAAGCCCACCTGTCTTCCAGCTGCCTCCTCAGGAGTCCCAAGAGCCTTTGGCCACTGTGATGACGCTCCAGATTTAAAAGCCTTGCTCTTTGGAAGCCTTTCTGTACATAGCCCCCTAATACGTCAGCTCTGAAACCCTATGCTGCTTTCTCTCACAACCCCTACGCTGCTTCATTGCTCTGTTGGGGAATCCAGAGATGCCATGTTCTGGGAATCCTTTACTTTCTGCACGCCTCTCTCATGGGGCCCTTCATGCTTCTCTCTCAGGCCACCCCTTTGCGTGTGGATTGGACAGCGCTCCCATCTGAGAGACTTGCAGTGGGTTAGAGCTGAGGCGGGCCCTGGAATCAGACAGGTCTGGGTTGGTGCTCACTCTGGGCCTGACCTCTAAGCCTCAGAGTTCTTCCCACCCTGTTTTGCAGTCTCCAGGGAGAGGCCAAATACATTTCCTGACCTCCTTGGGAGTGATAAAAGTCTGGAGTCTTGAAAGCTAAGTGGAATGTTGTAGGCTTTACTGGGACACATGGTGCACCTAACTTGTTCTAGGAAGACAGACCTGGTGAGAAATGGAGGGGAAGGCGGAGTGTGGGGTGAGGTCAAGGCCAGACAATCTTGGTCTGAGCTTTGTGTTCCTGTCAGCCTTCCACCTTGTAAAAGGGCAATTGATAGCTTACAGGTTTGCCAGGAAAATGGATCTGTATGTGAAAGGACTTTGTGTATGTCTCTGACCACGGAAGAGCCAGCTCAAGCCTTTTTCTCACCAAAGAGCGAGAGCTCCAGGTTGCTGCTCAGGGGATGCCCCCAGGCCTGGGACTGCCTTCTTGGCTCCCCCAGGGCTCTCTTGATGGGGCAGCTTATCAGAGTTGGGTTTATCCTGAACCCTCCAGGCATGGACAGCCTGCTAGGTGACAGATGGAGCCTTCCAACCCTGTTCTCCATTCCCCATTCTCATCCTTTCCCTGAAACAAGGCCAAAGGGTCCTTCCCATCATGCTGTGGCTGTTTCCGAGAGGCAGTGGGACCCAGGACTCTAAAGAAAGCTACATTTAGGCTACTTAGCATGCCTGAGCTAATAGTGCTCGCTCCTCCGGCTGAGCAAGGACGGAGGCAGGGCGCCGTTCTGAGTCCCACTTTCAGGTGTTCACATTCTGCCATTACACAGCGTTGCACCAAAAGCAAACACCTGGGCTCCTTTCACTCAGACTCTGCGCCGTGAGCTAAGGATGGCAGCAAGTCAACACAGACTGTCTCCGCGGTGCCCACTGTCAGGCAGAGGAAAAGAACGAAGCAATCACAGTATGATGAATGTTTTATAAGCCAAAAGTGGATTTCACGCTTGTTTCTTCATGGTAAAGGTAATTTAGACTTAAGACAACAGCAGTCAACACAGCACAAGGGCTTAGGGTGGACGGGCATTTACTGTTTTGTGTGCCCACCTGCCCAACATAGATGGTCCCTGACTTAAGATGCTTTAACTGATGGGTTTTCGGATGTCTAAAACTAAACATAAAGATTCCAGTAAAACACCCAGGGGCTCAGACTTGTTTGGAAAACTCAAGGCAGAGGTGGCCACCTTCAGTCAGCTCCCCTTCGAGGTTTCCAACCTTTCAGAGATTCCTCCTTACTTTCTAACCAAGTCCTGTGCTTCCCCATATAGATAATTTCTTTTTGATTACAATGGGGGTTACATTTAATATCCTACACTTGAAAACAATTTATTTTAAAACTGCTTTTATACAACTCGATTCTCCTCTCCTTTATATTGTTGCTGTTAAAAATAACATTTTTTTTCTTTAAATATATATTTTTATTGATTTCAGAGAGGAAGGGAGAGGGAGGGAGAGATAGAAATATCAATGATGAGAGAGAACCATTGATTGGCTGCCCTCTGTATGCCCCCAACTGGGGATTGAGCCCGCAACCCAGGCATGTACCCCTGGCCAGAATTGAACCTGGGACCCTTCAGTCTGCAGGCCAACACTCTGTCCACTGAGCCAAATGGGCTAGGGCACAAATAACATCTTTATATATTGTCTGAAATTGTCCTCAATCAGAAAGCTGGATGGTTGAGTATGCAGCTTTCCTCATGAATTTCCCTTCTCTCAGAGATCATAGTCTTATACTGTCCACTGTCCTTGCCTGAAAAGTTGTCACAAATAAATGTACATATATATGTATACGAGTATATATGTAGATTTGTGTGTATTTTAGTTTTTAGTAGTTCATGATGGGAGAGCCAGACTGGTGCCCGCTACTCCATCATAGTGAGAGGCAGAAGTTTCCCTCTTCTATCTTGATGAAGTGGACTATGTGTTGGCAAAGACGTTGGAACAGATGTCAGGCAGACCCGGCCACTCTC